GAAGATAGACGGACCCACCGTGGCAGACGCAACACGAAACCACGAGCTAATTATAACAACTTCGAAAATGTTATCAATCTCTCGGACCGCACATTATCGGAGCACGAACTCAGGATCTTGAGTAAAGGTCTGAAATTTGTCCCTACGCCGACAAATGTAAACAAAACTGAACTCATTACTGACATCAAACAATGGGGTCGCCGAATGCGCTTAAGGGAATACTTTGGTAATGACGACAATAGTAACACAGAGCTTGACGATGACAACACCTACAAGAAACCATTGAATTGGACGCCATCTCCGGGCAGAGATCTAGCCTTAGACTGCTATTTAAATGGAGTAGAACGTGCCATCTTGCAACACGCGCCCCACAACGCGCAACGCTCTAACATCACTAGGCTAGAACGCAAAGCTATTAAATCGCTTAAACGTGACAGTGGTATTGTTATTTTCCAAGCTGACAAAGGCGCAGCAGTAGTAGTGCAAAACAAAAGGGACTATCTAACAGAAGCTTACAAGCAACTAAATGGTACTGATGAAAACGGTAACAAGGTACATAAACATGTGGCCAGCGACAGAGGCTGGCAGGGAAAATATTTGGCTCGGGGCCATGAACGCAAGCCAAATATCTTCCTGCCCGACCCGACCAAACTAATCAATAAGACCCCTAATTGCTGAGATTTTGAAAATTCTGTTTCAACCTCGATAGTTAACAATTATTCCACGAGCGCACGTTGGATATGAGATGATAAATAGCCAACGAGGCGCGTAGCGCCTCGTTGGCTATAGTCATCTCATATCCAACAAGGGCGAGTGGAATAATTGTTTTATTAAAAACACTTAAATTAAATCTTATGAAATTTTTTAGCTCCCTTTTAATTTTAAGCTGACGTGTACGTTTACCATATTTGTAGTTCATGGTATATTAGCTCATATACCATAATGGATAAGCCAATAAAAAGTCTTGAATTGCATTATCTAATGGTCCAGTTTTTAAAAATATGCGATAGACGGGTGAGTATTCAATAAAAACTTTTCCTTTGTCTTTTCGAGTCAGAACCATAAATACACAAAATTCATCGAAAAACTCGACTTTTTTAACTATTTTATTTTTTTCCTGTAATTTTTTGCTACAATGCTGAGTGAAAGTAGGGCCGGAAGCCTTTTTCCTGACCGGCTCGCGTCAACCCGTCCGGCCCAGCACAGGTTAGCTTTCGCCATTGTGTTTTACGGGCTTGCGCGCGCGGGACCGGAAGGGTCTAATGATAAATAATTATAAGAAGATCTACAAAATCGAATGATTATTTGAAGTGACGAACAACTTTTAAAGCTTGTAAATCGGCCACAATTACTTACTTCACGGTACCTGTCGACGTCCTCATCTTTGGTCCTTAAACCTTTCTTCCTATCTTGTTCAAATTTTCTCTCATATTCCCGAAGATCACGAGCGAACCGAGACTTATCTCCACGAATGAAGTGGTGTAGGGACACTTCTCTCAGTCCTTCATCCGATTCTTGAGTTTCATTATCGACACTGGAACTTCTCAGAGGTTTATGTCTGTTAGGAAGTGGAAACTCGGCCTGCTCCTTTAGATCGCTATAGACTCGAATGATGTTGAGTCCAGTATGTTGGAGCATAATTCCTTGAGAGAGATGACAAAAGAGATGGAGGAAGGAATAAATTTTATGACATGAATGAAATGAAAAAGATCGGATGCGTGAGTGATAGTTTCAAGGGTACTTCCTCTGAGGAGCGAAATCGATCCGCAAGGATCTTTACGACCTTTTAGAGCAAATAGACCCAACAAACTGTTGGCGTGAAAGTCTGGAATAGGACTGCGCTATGATAAGTTGAGTATTCACGAGGATTAACAACAAATAATATGTAGAGAACAGACGTCCAGCATTGAATAGCTACTCTTTTTTTTTGTTTCAGTCTTGATCGATGTTCTAAAAAAATGCTATGGGGATTGGACTGTAAAGGAAAGTTAACGTTTGTTTTTAAAACCATTTGTGCAAGAGTACAGGAAGAAGAACAATCAAGAAAAAGCCCAAGACGCCAAATGCAAAACAAAAACATTAAAAAAGACCCAGAGTTCCTTTGTTTCGCTTGGGTCTGCTTTACAAAAGGTTTCTTACTTGCTACCACATCAACTGACTTATTAGAGGGACCGCAGTAAATGACTTGTGATAATGGTATCAACTTGTCTACATTATCTGATTCAGTCGGGTTCTGATCTGATTGTGAAAAAGTTTTCCTGTTTCGATGTGCAAACCAGTAGGCTATGTGAACGCCAGTCACTGTCTTGCCGGTACCTGAAATTTAAAAGAAATAGGTTGATTGAAGAGGATTCAATTCTGACAAAGAGACAGGCGAACATTCTAACGAGTGTGCAGCAATGAAGTGAATGTTGTTCAGAATTCAAATCAACTTAGGGGATTGACAATCTTTTAGGAAGATAGCACCAGTAAACGGTTGAACGAGGAAAAGGTATTTTCAAGCAAGAAATTCGCTTCAATTGAACACATATGTTGACAATGTAGCACATACCTGGAGGGCCCTGTATGAGGTAAAATGGTTTCACCAGTGCTTTTTTCACAGCTTTGTTCTGATACGTATTTAAGCCCTCTAATGAAAATTTGGGATCCTTTCCCAAAATTGAGAAGTCAGAGAAAGGAGGTAATTCGAAGTCCCCTGGAGAGAGGAAACAGATTCATTTGAATGTTTTTCTGAATATGTATCTCCATTGTAATCGATGTTATTGATTTTATTTGAAACCGAACAAGTGGACAAGTGGACCTGACAATTGTTTCTTGTATGTCAGGCTGTTCCATGTATATTCCATCATCTGACATGTTAAGGAAAATCGACAAACACAAACGGCGTTTGTCATAAAGAAGGCTACAATGGTTTTCACTCAGCTCACGTGGTAGCATCGGAACGATTTCAAAGCCATGTCCAGGGTAGTAGGAGGAGTAACGAAAAACAGTCAGGAAATAAATTTGCAGCTATCACAGATAGTAGGTTGTACTTAATTATTAATTCATTTCGACTGAGTGGTCAGCGTGTTCTACGTGGCGGACTAGAAATCACTCTATACGAGATATCCTTATATCATATTCAGCTTAAAGTTTTGAGTGTAAAAATGAAAACTACTTTCCTCAAATAGCAACCATGTTGATAAGTTGATTACCTGATGTTATGTCAGTAATTAGTCCAGATCAACCAAATGATAATGTACATGCGAATCTTTTGGCTTCAATCAGCTCTTCCCGTAAGTTTCTCGTAATCTCAAATGAAAAAATATTTCACTTTTGAACCGAAAACGTGGTGCTAAAAAGGCATTAACTTGTCTGTTTAACGATGGCATTGTTTAACGATGAAATAATTTATTTGTGCACTGTCAATACTTTAAATTCCAGTTATGTATGTTCTTCCAACCTTGACTAAGCTCGTGCCCTAGGCATACCGCCTCGACCAGTTCAGGAGCATTTTTCAGAGTCCAACGCAGGACTGCAGACATTCGTCTGGTAAAAAGACAGTAAACAAAGTCGTTAGTGCAGCACTAGAGAACCAAAATAGAAAATTAATGAAGTAGCAAGTACTGAATTCATGAGTGCTAATGAAAGGCATTAACTTCTTAGATAATTATGTCCTACAGGTTCTCCTCTATGCGGAAGATTTGCCGTTTTTAATAAAAGTGAGGTATGGTTGTTATGTAATTGCAGACGATCGGGATAAGGGTTCTCTACAATCACCGACTTAAGGTATGGTAGACCTTCATAAAACTGCCATAAACTATTACTACTGGTGATTATTAGCGAATGTAGCTACTTGGATTGCATAATAGAGGATCACTGTCTGGAAATAATTACTTGCATTGTGCCATTAACAATACCTTTTTATTACCTGTGGATTGGAGGTCGATGAATGACAGTTAACGTACTCAGACTGCCTCCATTCACAAGTTCTTTGGGAAATTCCGATGCTGACTGACGGAGATTTATCCTCACTGACACCATTTCCTTATCTTGAGTCAACTTAACTTCTCTAACAATGCAGTGCCCCACCCATAAACTTGATGATGGAGACCTGAAGCTCTCAAAGGATGGGGTGCCTTTTAACTGCGTCATGGTAAGTTGCCCCTCATTTTCCAAATCTGAATCCATCTTTTTTGGAACATAATCACCGTTAGGTTCGAATACAACAAACATATTTCCATATCATGTTTCAGTAGATGTTGTGGGTACAGTGTCAGTTGCATGATTAAAAGGCATTAACTATATCACCATTTCATGCAAGTACATTATAATCTGCAAGCAGGCCACCATTACATGAGGGTATATTATAAGAGTACACGAGCAAGCTACATGGTATTACTTTACTAATGAAGATAAATGGTTGTATATTTACCTCTGATTTGTTCCTTTCGCCTGTTACTAAGTTTGATTTCCCCATGTACATCTCCGCCTGTACCCGAACACAAACAAAGTCCCCTTCGTAAAATTTGATTTGGCGAGTTGTGCAATACTCGTTTTGAAGGCTGAAAAATCCTTCTTGATTTCCACTGCTATCCATCCTCCACCTGATGTCCAAATCGAGTATGGTTAACTCATCATCCTCGTCCACAGCAACTGTCGCAGCTTCCAAATCAAGAACAGGTTCCCAGGCCGCTATGTAATCTTCTAAAGTCGAGTACTTGCCGGTGGCGTGATAACTTGGTGTGGTAGTGAAACATTCTCTTGGATATTTGCGGTGCTCGACACAAATATGAACGCTTGGAGTAATCTTGAAGAGCTGAATTTCTGGGTGGAAAACCCCGTGTGTCATGTGTGCAGTCAGTTGAATTTTAACTGTATCAAAAATCTTGAGAGAAATCTGTTTCTCGTGGGTATTCTCTATGTTTGATCCAAGCTTTCCGCAATTGTGAAGGTTATTCTGATTTCGGAGACTGGTAAGGCATGGAGAATGCTTTCGCTGATCACCATCCATCCGTTTAATTAGCGAGGAAACTCGCCTATAGTTTTCCTCTTGAAGTGCTTTCAAAAGTTGTTGCCAACTTTCTCCTGGAAAATCAAAGACTTCACGTTCAGGTAATTCCTTAGATAAAATGATGGACACCTTTTCTCTTTCACGATCAAGTTTCTCCACGATGTTTTCCTTCGGAGCGATATACAGTCTCAGCTTCCAAAGAAGCACAATTTCCTCGGAGCCACCATGCTTAGCATCAAATGGTTTTAAACTGCTTAGTTTAATTTCCCTCTGTCTTTTAGCGACTTGGTCGTATTCTCGATTTGTAATTTCCAGCCTTATTTTCCCATCTTCTATCATCGAAACGGCTGCTGTTGTCTCGTGGCTTTTTTCCCTGAGCTTTGCTGCCAAGTGGACTTCGTTACACGTCTTTCTGAAGTGTTTGGAATTCGCACCAGCAAACGTGGAACGACGACACATCTCAGCAATTCGATCCATAGGGGGCGCCCCTGTGTGACGGCCTTCAGAAATCGCATTCAAGATAAGTCTGTGTACCACTATGTCGATGTATCGTCGAATAGGTGACGTGAAGTGTGTATAGCGGTCCGTTCTCTGAGAGAAGTGGCCAAGTTTCCCCTCCGCCTCATCTAGATCCCCCTCGCACACGTACTGAGCCTTCTGTTTAATACGCTCAAATTGCCTTCTTGCGATGGCCAACTGAGAGTGATTCTTCTCATTAAAAATCAGCTGACGAAGCTTGACTTTGTCTAGAGATTCTGCAGCGCTACAGAGCTCAAACCAGACAGACTTTTGCACTTTAAATTTTGGAAATTCCGAAATGCCGACAAGTTTTTTCATCTCCTGCAGTTTTTCAGCGGAATAAACAGCGTGTGGGAACAAAGAGAACTGTATGAATTTCCCGAATTGTTTGAGCCAGTCTCTTAATCTGTGCTCTTTGGGTGGAAGCTGGGTCCGTAAGGGTGTGATCATTCCAACTCGTGAATAGAGGAATTTGGCTATCTCCTTATTGGCAGCAATCATCATTTCCTCCACAAGCTCGTGTGCTTCATAATCTTCTGGCTCATCTCTACTTGACCAATGATCAGAGGCAGCTTCTCGAAGTCTCCTCTTCCTCATTTTTTGTGCAAGGTCACTAAGCTGGCGAATCTTATCCTTAGTATCCTTTGGCACTTTATTAAATGAGCAATCTTGACCATTAATAACTTGTTGGGCTTCAGAGTAAGTGAGCTGACAAGTGGACCTGACAATTGTTTCTTGTATGTCAGGCTGTTCCATGTATATTCCATCATCTGACATGTTAAGGAAAATCGACAAACACAAACGGCGTTTGTCATAAAGAAGGCTACAATGGTTTTCACTCAGCTCGCGTGGTAGCATCGGAACGATTTCAAAGCCATGTCCAGGGTAGTAGGAGGAGCAACGAAATAAAGCTTCTTTATCTAAAGGGGTGTCAGGCTGCACAAAGAAACTTACGTCAGCGATGTGAATTCCTACACGACATAATCCTGAGTCTTGAAGCTTTTCTATGGAAAGTGCATCATCTAGATCTTTGGAATTCTCAGGATCAATCGTAAACGCTCCATCAATTTCCAAACGTCTTCGCTCTTCATCAACTGGAATTGACCAAGTTGGCGGAAACAGACTTCTCACTTGTTCGACACACTTTTTATTGAACAACTTTCTAATGCAATGCTCGGCAAACTGAATTTCCACGCTATTCTGCAGGGTATGCTGCTGTGGTAGTCTTCGGATTATCGTGCCCAATGGATAATTACGGCCCTCTCCCCATTTGACAAATTGAACAAGAAACAGGCACTCTTCTCCAAATAAATCTTCACGTTCTACCCCATCTTCACCAGTTCTCTGTTTACCTTGCCTTTTTGCAGTGATGGATCTTTTTTCAACTCTTGCAGAACTTGGTACCAGAATTTTCGGCACAGACTTATTGATTGGTATCATTACGTCATTATTCTGAGGATCGATCCTACACACAAACTGCCGTTCATTATGGCCGATGATGGGGTGCATCACACCTATAGTTAAGAAGTTCCAAGGGATAAAGAGTAAGTTTGCAAGTTCTCCGTACATAGGGATAATTAGAGCGGCAAACATTAATTTGAGGATAGACAATCTGCGCCCATAGCCCTGCAGTTATTCATCGCCTTGGGGCTTGACCCCTACATTGCGTAGCACGTACATCTTGAGTATATAATCTTTTAGCAACAATCTACACTATCCGACTCAAATACCTTGGACCATTGTACGACTTACCTACAAACCTTCCTCTGGTTCTGGAATAACCATCACTTGGCTGCTTATCAAGCACTTCAACGACAACTTGATCCATGTTGAAAGCTCCTTTGACCCGTCCACTGATTTTGATGTCTGGGGTAATCAAGTCTGACACAACGGCAAAGGAAAGGTTACCTGCCTTGGAATCGAGTTGAAGTGTGGCACTATGATATCTGGAAGCCTTTTCCTGTATCAATTTCCGCAGATGCTCTAAGTTAGGAAGTTTATTCTGCGCGTCAGATTGTGTTAGTTTTTTACGTCGATCAGACTGCGTTGGTTGAAATCCAACATCTATAAGGTATACTTTCGGATGGCCGTTGACATATTTGACCTCGTAATCACTAAAAATAGGTTGAGGGTGATCTGATTTCCCTTTCCGACTTCTATTTGAAGGTTCTTTGACTCCGGATTCACTTCGGCTTACTAATAAAGCTTCCTGGAGTGAGGGATATTCTCCACCTTGTGAAAGTCTCTGACATTTTCTTGCTTTGGTTACTTCGCTCCACTGCAAGAACTCCTTGATAATCTTGTCAAAGTAAATTAGATACTTTTCTTCATTTTCAAAACGTTCCCTACAAAAGTCTTCTAATAGTTCCGAGTTACCTTGATCGATGGCCTCTTCTCCCTCCCCTGACTCATTCGCACCCTGGTTATCGCGATGCAACGGACATACGTCTTGGTTCTCATGGAAGCCATCACGCGGATGGATAGATAGAATTCTCTCTTCTTTCTTTTCTCCTTCTTCTGGCCAGACTTCCTCTGAATTCAAACTATTTTTCATGCCATCTATTTCCTTTTCTGATCCGTTCTCCATCACTGGATCATAGGAGCAATCCTTCACTGTTTTTTCTCCGGTGCTCTTTTCTTTAGTCCCTAACACTTCTCGAGTTCCATCTTCCACGCCAACACACGTTAGTAGTTGCGACGTTTTGTTCTCCACTTCTTCAAAGCTTGGAACGAAGACAGGAGCTTCAGGATTTAAACCACTTGTTAAGAGAGGGGAAATCACTTTCGCCTTTATCTCTTCGAATGATGCTCCAAACAAACTTTCTTGCTGCTCACATCTCTTAATGTAATCCCACCAAATGCCTTTACAAGCACCAGCAGTACACAACGAAATAGCATTTCCCACGACAGCTAGCAATGACTTCGCTCTGGTTATCGCAGTGTTTAGGAGTTTAGGATCAGACAAAAATTCCCAGTAGAGTTGCTGACTTTGTTCCTCAGTTCTTTGAAATGTTTGACATGTGATAGAAGTGCGGACGGTGCTGATGAATAGGGCACGGAACTCTTTTCCTACAGCAAAAAGAACGCAAGTATGTAGTTGTCGTAGGTTCTCGATTTAAAGTATTAAGTTATGCATATTTACTCGCGGTGCGAGCAAAAAAATAAAGATAAGGCGAAGAGGCGGTGTCCTACCACATATGAAAAAAGAGAAATGACTGCTTTTTTCGTGATATCGTTAAAGCAATAAGGTGCACACAGGCTAAAAATACTTAAAAAGACAAAAAATGAAAACACAGGTATTGGAGCTTATCGAAAGAAGAATCAACAAACAAACGTACACTTACCTCCATTCCCAATGTGGTAAAGATTGGGGTTGGGAGATTTGGAACCCAGGTCCAAAAACATCTTGGTGTTTCACATAAACCGATAGTATTCTAAACTAAATTGTTACAATTCTTTAAATACCTTGTACATTCTGAATTTTCTCCACTGTTACATCTCGGAGCTCAGTACTTTCTCTCCTGAGCGAGTCTCGAATGGCTCGTACCTAGGTGATCCAATGGCGATAAAATGAATTGGCATTAATAAGGTAATAATGAGAAATAATATGATAATAGCAGTCATAACAATAACATTGATAATAATAATAATAATAATAATAATAATAATAATGTAATAATAAAAATTATAAAACTGAGCTGAAATAACCAATAGACACACAAAATGAGTTTAATTTCGTATCGTGAGAAGCTGAAGCACTAGAAGCAATGCCCTTCCCGCTTTCTATACTTTCATTTCTAGCCACGCTACCACGTTACGAATGACAGACCACCGCGTTGCTAGGGGCCGCGTGCGCGTGTGTGAGATGAGATAAGTTGAGTTTGTAACAACGAGAGCGGTGAAAGCGGTGTTTTTGTAAGTGTACACCCGCGAATAAAAATGTTTAAAACGAGTCAGTCGAGTTTAATTGTCGTTCGTCAACGACATTTGGTCCTTCAAGACGGATATTGTGCGAAGTCAAGCGAAAAATCGTCGTGTACATGTAACTACGTGTATATACCACATCATATATCATCGAGCCGTGTGGTTGAATAGTGTGAAGTGTCATTCAAGTCACGCTAAGATGAGTGCCTCGACAGAGCAGAAGACGAAACACGACGACTGTTTACGCTAAGTGAGTCTACTACTTCAAGTAAACTTTCCGTTTTAAGAAAGAAATTGCAAGGCGAGAAGTTACCCCTTGAACTAAAAACAGCTGCGCAAACGCTCGCAAATGAGATTGACTGTCCGCGAGCCGAACAACAGCAGAGTGCCAAGCTTTCGGAACTTCAAAAGAAATCTGAGAAATCAAGATTGGAATATGAGTTCGAAGATGCCATCGCTCAGGGAGAAGGTATGTCGAATAAAGGTGATGTTGATGAAGAGTTGAATGAGTTATTTTTAGGCAGTGTGAACGATCGGGTCTCATGCTTAGACCTAAAAATTACTGGAAACCTTGTAAAAAAGGGACATGTGAATCATCTATTGCTAAAGGTCAAGCTGAGTTGAAAACTTCTGCCACAGGAAACCCTAGGGGGAAAATTTCGAAGAGAGATCAGTTGTTTGAGAAAATGCAGTCAGCCTTTTTGTAAAACCGTTAAACCAAACGTGCCGAAGTTGAATAGAAATTCACTAGAGTTTTCAAAATTCAAAGCAGCATTTAATGTTGAGGTAGACAAAAGGGAAGTTTACGATGCAACGAGGAAGCTTAAATTTCTGCTAGACTCTGCAGAAGGAAGTGTAAAATCATATCTAGCAAAATTCATGCCAGGTTCAGACAAGTAGGAGGAGATATGAACTGCGCTTTAGGAGCTTTTTGGCCGTGTAGACACAGTTGTGTCAGCTGCAAAGAAGCAATGAGATCAATTTCCGAGTTAAGTGAAAGAAAATTGTATGTAGATCAGGCAGTATCAAGAAATAATTTCTGAATTTTAGGCATTTTTAAAGAGCAGAAATTCCTTTATGAGCTTAACTCGCAACTCCCTGAGGCAACTGTTGCTAAAATTCCTGTCCAATTTTGCGGTAGATGGGCTGAGTTTGTTGAAGGAAAACCAAAGTTGCTAACCTGGGATTCATTTGTAAATTGGCTGGAAAGAGAGGCAAAAATCAGTGAGTCCAAGAAGCGCTGGATACCAGAGAAGAGATAGTCAAAGCGTTCAGATACATCTAAAGTTGAAAGGCGCACGTAAGCTGACGAATCACAATCTGGGCTGTTTGTAGGAACCACTGGAGAAACTTTAATTACGCACCAGCCATGAAACAGTTAGGACCCCAATTCACTAGTCCACTAATCACATTCTGCAAGAGTGCAAAATTTTTAAGGAAATATTGACTAGCGAATAGGTGAAAGTTGTTGAGGAACACAAACTATGCTCATGTTGTCTTCAGTGTCGCCAGTCAGCGTACGTGGTTGGTGAAGCTGGTGGTCGTCCTTTGTTTGAAGTACTTCCTATAGTTATCTTCCGAGAAACAGGAAAACAACAAGTGATGGCATTGCGTGACTTAGGCTGTAACACAGCACTTACAGATAAAAGTTTAGCGCTTTCACTTGGACTTCAAGGCAAAGAGCTAGATCTCGTGATTCAAGAAGTAAATGTGCGGAAGGGGTTTACTCCCCATCACGTCAAGAAATGCCATATCGCACGGGTGGAAAGAGAAAAAGTCCAGTACCCCTTGCGAGATGTGAAAACAATTCCTGGCCTGAATGGTCCGGATCAGACGTTAAAGTGGATATATCAACAAATTTGAAATTGTAAATTGGCCACCGTAATGATTACAAAAGCTGACGTTTCGAGCGTTAGCCCTTCGTCGGAGCGAATAGAGGAATTGTGGGTTGTGTGTGCTTTTAAAGGCAGAAAATGGAGCTACGTTATTGGTGGGTGCATGGCAACGAGAAAAACATGAATAAATTAGTGGAATGAAAAGCGTTCATTGATCCCTGTGGGATTTAGACTGCCGGTTTGAAAGATGAGCTTTTGTTCAAGATTTTTACGGCTTTCCGTGCCACCTAAGTGCAAGGAAAGACCGCAGATTGCCATATGTTGCTTAGAATGATTAGGTAAATTAAAATGTCTAGCGACTGGTTTCGATGTGTCCTTGTCATTCCTTTCCACGTCTCGAAGGTGTTCTCGGAATCGGTCACCTAGTCTTCTGCCTGTTTCGCCGATGTATATCTTTTTGCAATAAGTGCAAGTTATGCAATAGATTACATTAGCGGAGGTGCACGTGAAGTGATCGGTGATCTTAATGGATCGTTTAGGTCCCGATATTTTATCAGTGTTGTGAATGAAAGGACACGTTTTGCATCGTGCACGAGCGCATTTAAAAGTGCCTGGTTGCTCATTAGTCTGAAAAGAACTTCTGACCAAAAAATTGCCTAAGTTTTTGTCGCGTTTGAATGAAATGAGCGGAGGCTGCGAAAAGATAGTGCTTGTCTCTGGATCGTTTTGAAGTAATTTAAAGTTTTTAAGAATGATGGATTTAACTGAGTGGTTGTGAGGGTGAAACGTGAGAGTGAATGGAATGCGGTCGGAATCTTCCTTATGCGACGTTTGTAGTGCTGAATGTCGATCAATAAGTTGAGCGCGGTGGTAACCCGCTTGAACGACGGAAACAGGGTAACCACGTTTATCGAAGAACTGGCACATTGACTCTGATTTGTGGTGAAAATCAGNTTGCCATATGTTGCTTAGAATGATTAGGTAAATTAAAATGTCTAGCGACTGGTTTCGATGTGTCCTTGTCATTCCTTTCCACGTCTCGAAGGTGTTCTCGGAATCGGTCACCTAGTCTTCTGCCTGTTTCGCCGATGTATATCTTTTTGCAATAAGTGCAAGTTATGCAATAGATTACATTAGCGGAGGTGCACGTGAAGTGATCGGTGATCTTAATGGATCGTTTAGGTCCCGATATTTTATCAGTGTTGTGAATGAAAGGACACGTTTTGCATCGTGCACGAGCGCATTTAAAAGTGCCTGGTTGCTCATTAGTCTGAAAAGAACTTCTGACCAAAAAATTGCCTAAGTTTTTGTCGCGTTTGAATGAAATGAGCGGAGGCTGCGAAAAGATAGTGCTTGTCTCTGGATCGTTTTGAAGTAATTTGAAGTTTTTAAGAATGATGGATTTAACTGAGTGGTTGTGAGGGTGAAACGTGAGAGTGAATGGAATGCGGTCGGAATCTTCCTTATGCGACGTTTGTAGTGCTGAATGTCGATCAATAAGTTGAGCGCGGTGGTAACCCGCTTGAACGACGGAAACAGGGTAACCACGTTTATCGAAGAACTGGCACATTGACTCTGATTTGTGGTGAAAATCAGAGTCATTACTACATAAACGACGAAGTCTTACAAACTGAGAAAAAGGAATGGAATTCTTAATGTGAGATGATTCATCATCTCACGTTATTCATCACTTTTCAATGCCATCATTTCATGATGGCATTGAAAATATTCATCGCGCGACGTGGACGACCGTAGAGTATTGATAGTGATAACAGAACAAACTTTGTCGGTGCAAATAATGAGTTGCAGAAATGCATTGAACTATTAGATGAAGCAACCTTCTGAGCACCTATGGAAATTGAGTGGAGGAGCATGGGAGAGACTAGAATAGCACACAGAGAAGACGCTGAAGGCTATTCTGGCAGACAGGAAGATTTAAAAATACGTGCTGAGAACTGCGCTATTTGAAGCAGAAGGGATACTAAACAGTCCACCGACCACTCATGTGTCCAATGATGCAGTGGAAATTGAAGCGTTAACCTCAAATCATTTCTTGCTGTTTCGGGCGGACCCGCGTTATGAAGATACTGAATTTAGTGATAGAGAGATCAACTCAACAAAGACGTGGCGACGGTCCCAAATACTAGCTTATTTCTTCTGGAAACGCTTTACCAAGGAATACTTTCCTAGCCTGGCACAGAGGAAGAAGTGGAAAGAGAAGAAACAGAACCTCAAAGAAGGAGATATTGTCCTAGTTGCTGAGCCTAATCAGCCGCGAGGTGTGTGGCCATTGGGCAGAATCGTGTTTACTTACCCTGGGAAGGATAGGTTAGTTCGACCAGTTATAGTGCGTACTCAGCACGGAGAGTATAAGAAACCGATTGCTAGACTTTGTTTATTAGAGGAAGTGGAAGTGTAAATCCGTTAATCGTCTCGACGAACGTTGTGTCTCCACTAGGAGCGGGGATGTCCCCTCCGCTCCTTGTACTTTCTTTTCTAGCCGCGTTACTATGTTACGAATGACAAGCTAGGTCGTTGCTAGGGGCCGCGTGCGCGTGTGTTACATGAAATAAGTCGAGTATGTAATAACGTGAGCGGTAAAAGTGGTGTTGTTGCGAATGTATAACCCACGAATAAAATTGTCTAAAACGAACCAGCCGAGTTTAATTGTCGTCAAGCAACGACAAGTAATGTTACCCATTTAGTTCTATCTATTGAGTTATTGCCGAATTACTTTAAGGCAAATAAATGTACGGGGCAATCTCCTTGCAAAAGGTCCTAATGCCTCTTTATTAAGCGTACCTGAATACTGTATGCGGATACCACACCAATTTGAGAAAGATCTTTCTCTCCCCATTTCACAGGCCAGTCACTGCTTATTTCCTTGACCCTCGTAACAACCTCCTGAACTTCTGCCACGTTGATGAATGAATTTTCTCGTGCTTCTTCAATACCGTAGGTACCAAAAAATAAAATTGGTCCAAACTTTGGGTGAGGTAGTTGTTCACTGCTGGATATCAGGCCTCCTCCGTAGAAATTCTCAGAGGAAAATTGTAGAATTTCAGGATGGCACCGGTAATTCTCTGTCAGAAATATTACGTTACAAGGTGATTGCGTTTCCTCAAAGTAAAGGTCAAACAATCTTTCAGGCAGAGACCTCTGCAGACCCCAGTGTCCAGCATAATCGGAATATACTTCTGGGCTCATCTGGTAACAATAAAAACGTGAAAAAAAAGTAAATCCATTGCAACGAATATAATCGAGTAATTTTTCATCATCGTGTGCCATCCTATTAATCCTGGAAAACAAAATTGCCACCAACTGAAAATTTTTATGCAAGTAATTTCAAGAACTTATTGGTTGCTGATTTGCTTTGATGTTGGGATTCAAAGGAAGATATCACAAGTTTATCCTACTCAGCATGAGGTAGAAAATACAATTATTGTCTCCTATCTTATATAAAATGCCTAATTGTTGCTCTTAGAAGTTCTTAATAAACCATATCTTCTTTCATTGTGAACTCGGTACAGAACAGAACTCCTGTTGGAGCAATTTGCTCTCTCGATATCATTTTAAAGATCACGATAGTCTGTCTGCTAGTGAACACAACAGTAGGAGATCCGTATAACAGAGGGGCGTTAAGAGAACCTTTCATCGAAACGCATCAATCACATCTGCACATGTAGATTGCTAACCAATCACAGCTGAACAGAAAGGGTCAAGGTGGCTCGCGTACCTAGTCGACTTTATTGTTTTAAGAGGACTTGTAGGTCGTCGAAACGTTAAAATGTGACCTTATCGTGAGACAAACGATTGAATTTACAATGGCACAACCTTTTACTTCTGTTATTTTGATAGTTAAATCCTTTAAATTGTAAAACGAATGGTTTAAATGCAACAGACAATTTAGCTTCTCTCATCACTCCAAATGAGGGACATCGACTATTTTAGCTATTGAGACGTTGCAATCCTGATCTCGTTTTAGGTAAACAGTCCAAGACTCTAATTATAATTGGGTACACTTCTACCCCACCTGCATATGGTCACCAGTGAAGACAACCTTTGTATTTGGTCCAGCTAACGCCAGTGGTATTAATGCCTCAGGTTCGAGGGCTTGGGCAGCCTCGTCCACTAAAATATGCGTGAAGAATCCGGATTTTAATCGTAACTCAGTGAGGTGCTTAGACGCTGCCAACGTGGAGATCACAACATTGTGTTTTGTCACATGGTCTCTTGTGGGAAGCACGTAAGCATCATTTCTGATGATGCTGTATTTCTTAGCAATGTCAGAATCAGTATCCAGTCTGACGTGGGGGGGAGGAAAAAAAGAAATATACAGTAATAGTGTCATATCAACAATGGAAAAAACGCCCATTATAAACTTATTATTTGCATGCACACCTTTTCCGGTTGAGTTATAATCTAGGAGGTTTTTCTTACTTGAGCTCGCAATGTAATGATCTCTCAAACAAAGAGACTAAATGTAAGTCTGGCATTGATTAACGCGTGGCGTGAATGACATGACTTTCATAAAAGTTAACTAAAATTACCTACCTTCTCCTTGGGTGATAAATCCTGAGGAGCTTCAGCTGCCTCGCTTCAACTGTCGACAGTCGCTTCAACTCAGTCAAGTAAACGTCAAACAGCTTAACGTGTATGTCAGCCGCGCTGTTTGTGTGAGTACACAAAAGGACGTGATTGCGTTCGTCTTTCACCAATTGACGAATTGCGTAGTTTAAGGTGAATGTTTTACCAGTACCAAAAGGACCAAAGACTACAAGAGGATGGGATAATTCTCCAGGGGATAAAATGCTTCTTATCACCTTCTCTTGGTTGTTATTGGGCATAGGGTTCAACTGTGGACACTTCCATGGGGGATTTGTCTCAAATGACTAGAAGGAACAGATATCTGTGAGTTTGGAGACATTAAGAGACGAATTCTACAATAGAGGTCATGATTTAGTCACGTCTGAAACGCATATATAGCTCATAGCTCGTTGGGGGGAGGGGAGGGGGTGGGCTAACTAGTCTGCAGGTTCAAGATGATGGGTAATTAGAGATGGTGGTTTTTACAAGGGTTAGGAGCCTTTTAAAACAGTACTGAGAGCAAACTGTTTTCTGACGTTTCGTCCAGATCTAATAAATTCCGTATACAGCATGTGTTAATGATTGTGAACTGCAACTTTAAAAATCGCGTCTGATTCAGGACTTCAAATACAGTTTTTTTTCAACGGCAGCGTTGGCTTAAATGAGTAACAGTAAGATTACATTTTGTTAAGGAAATGGGGTGGTGGGAGAAGAAGGAGGGAGCTGAATAGAACGTGAGAGATATTAATAGCATTTTCCTGCATCCATCTCACATACATGCATATAGTTGGTAAAGAAAATCTACATTGGTTGATTAAAAGGGGTAAAACATCCATCCCGAAGTTAAAAATTATTTCTTAAATTGTTTGAAGTTAGCCGTCCGGGAGAATTTCCTCGCCAAAATTTTAGAAGGATACTGTCAGTTTACGATCTGTTGGGTATGATTCTCTAGTTCAAGGCTAAAAAAAATTTCTTCAGAACATCTTTCATCTAACTCAGTTATATCATCATGAACGATGTTGACTTCGATACTGATATGATATCAGACGTAACCGAACCGGAAAGAGGAAAGCAAATAATCAAGCGATCGTATTGATTGATTTAACGTAATTTACTCTTGCAATATAACAAGATCATTATTTTTTCGCTGATCATCTACCTTTTCGCTGACTTGTACTTGCGGCAAATTCTTTCCTGGAAAGAGCAAATTGGAATGAGCACGTCCAGGCTCCATTTTATCGATTGCCGCATGCATTTCGCAGAGAGGTTGTCGATTCAACTGAAACTGTACATCAACGAAAATTTCACCAGTACCAGGTAAATTCAAGTCTGACCACAATTGAGAGCAAAGCTTTAGAATGATGCAAACTCTGTCGACACTTTCTACAGGTGCCTCGTACACTTTATTTGAAGTACTGCCAGTTTCCTTAAGCCATACGGACCGTACATTTCTAAAGACGAGTCGACTTGCTGCATTGTCTGGTTGGAGGGATTCATTTTCTTGAAATATCATCTCACCAAAACATTCGCCATCCCTTGCAAAAATAATACCACCTCTCGCGATACTTGTCTTCACTTTCAATGGGACTCCCTGAAAGGAAAAACTAGGGAAAAAGGGGATTTCCAATAATAGTTTATACATTCGTTGACCCCTTGCTAACTGTCTCTTTTCTTCATACTTCGGAAACTTAGTGAAGAGAAAGTTCACGCGGTGAAAGGTTGATGTTACAAAACACTCACAAAACTGAAACCTATATTTATCATTACATTGTTAAGCAGTTTTTCTACCTGTTATAGCCTTCGTTTCGGTTTGTCTACGTCGTGATCGAACTTCCCATGAACATGAACAACAGATGCCGAGAAAAAGCCATTCTCAGCGGGGCCTAACGCAATTCATAAACTGTGAAACCAGTAAGTGAGTAATTCGAAATATATTAGCAAGCAAACCAAGCGATAGCTAGCCTATTATATATTTGTAAAAACTGGAGCACAGTTATTGAATTTCTAGCCTTCTGATTGGCTGAGCAGAGCCGGGTTATGAGCTTGAAATCTAGCTCCGAGCTCACCAACTTCTAAAAATATCGTCAGCGACGTGAAAGAAAATTTCTCTGAGCGAGCGGTGAAGAAATGGCTGGAAAAGCCGTTGTGCCCGAGAGCTTTACAAGTAAAAAAATAAAAGAACTTAAAAAAAAAAATGCTACTCCCATATCCACCAAAAACAGCCACTTATTCGGTATGAAAATATTTCAATTTATTATTTATTATCCAACTACACTTAGACGAGTACAAATAACGCCATAGACGAGAACAAATATCACGCGGTATTTGTACTCGTCTATTGTAGAGTACCGATTAAACAGGTTTTCTCGCATCGCGCAAGCGAAGAATTGGATTGTAGTTACGAAAAAAAAAAAAAGAGTGGCGGACAATTTGAATCATATTTCCGACAACGAAGAGTCAGAATGGCTGGCAAATATAGGTCAAAGTTTATTAGCTAAATCGAACGAAGAAAAACAGCTTGACGACCAGAAAATTTCTTCATTTATTGAAGAAAATAGAAACAGCAACACGACAACGCGCCAATTCCGTTCCGCTTCGCATACTTCTGTCACGCACTTCCCGTAAATAAATATTCGCGAAATTCGCCCGCACTGAGATAACAGTTTGGCGTGTTGGATAATAAATAGCTTATTAGACGTTTTGTTGTGAAGTATCGCTGAGTATTTTTACTCGTTATTTGTATTTTGACTCGCCCTACAGGCTCGTAAAAAATACTCAGCGATACTACGCAACTAAACGTCTAATAAGATATATGTATTTAACGGAAAATTTAGCACTTATTATTTGCTAAATGCACGATGGGATCTGTTCGCATTTGTCAAACCACATAAATGCTAGTCGGTTCAGTCACCTTTTTTTTTGTGTTTTAACTAAAACCGTATTCTACACAGGCTGGCTGATGATGAGATAATTATTACCGACTCAGCGCTTCAAGCCGCGTTGGTTAGTTATCATCTCACATTAGGCGCGCCCTTGCAGAGCAGTTGTTACATATTTTAAATCAAGTAACCAAGCGCATATATCTGTACCTTGAAACTGCCATTTTCATAAAAAGCTCTTCGGTAAATAATAGTTGGTGCATCACTCTCCGGTAGTTTTCTTGTGTTAGGTCTCCGTTAGTTATTTGCACAGTAACAATATTCTCAATCCTTTCAGGCAGCTGGTAACGTTTCAGCAACTCTTCATCTGTTCCGGCGTTCTCTGTTGGTCTGATTACGTCCACTGATCCCTCCTTCCATATGGTTGGACTCAATTTGAGCTTTTTTCTGTGCTCTGAGATTTTCTTTAAGTCATCCTCTCTTGCTATGTCTACGTTTAATCCTTGCAATAAGTGCGGCTTTTTTCCAAAGTCAAACTTAAGGCATTGTGGAAACGTTTGATCGGACGTTGTGGTATCAAATGAAACGGTGACAACAACTTTCATTTGGCCCTCTTTCTTCTCTGGATAACTGGGAAGCGTGAAAGACCAACGCTCTTTAGGCGTTGAATGAAATATTTCCTTATCTTCAAGAAAGCCTTTAACGTCAGCAAGTCGATAACACTCGTGGTACTGATGAAGAAGGTCAATTTGGCGCAGCCTCCCAACCTCACCAATCTGAGTTTGTTAGTGACAGAATTTTGTTAACTAAGTAACCAAATATAAACGAACATCCAAATAAACAAAAACCCATAATAAGACAAACGTATTTTAGATTTTGAAGTAAAATAACTGATAAACCGGTAAATCCATAAAAAAATTGAAGCATATTGTATCTGGTTTACTTTCATTTCATAAAAGCAGTAGAAAGCACTTTTATCAATTTAAAGGCGTAATAGCCAATGCGGAATACTCAGAGCAAACGCGAAAAGTTTGTAAATCACTTGAATACCTTCGCAGGAAACAAATGGAATTTTTGATCAGGGCACCTTTGTCAAATGGTTCTATAAAAAGCACGACAACAAGCAGATCTTTTTGCTGCAGAAACTGGTCGGAAATAGTCTGCTCCTAACGTTAAGTAGAATGCAATGTTCACGGAGTGTGTTTAACCGAATTGGATATATTGCCTTGAATTAACTCATCAAGTTTGTTAGATGACTTTGTGGCATGGTTGGCATACTACTAAGAAGAAGGATTTTACTGATTTACCTTGAATGTTACGTTGAAGACCCAATCAAATGTGTAGTTGACGTCATCGTCATCACTTGGGTTTATCTTAACCACACAGGGTTTATCACATGAGACTGTGACACC